ACAATTCAAAGACTATACTTTCAGGCCCTAGCAGTGATCAAGTATTATGTGTAACCCTAAATAATATAATTAGTTCTCAGAGGAATCACATTGATCGTGGTGATTATTTTTAAATGAGTTGTTTTGTTGTTTCCTGGTTTTAACTCTTCTTCCCCAAGAAGGACAGCCATAAAAATTATTTAAATAAACAAGTGAACTCACCTACTACAAAACCTGCGTTGACTATAGTCAACAGGAAAGAATATAGAGAGTCCTCAATTTGCAATCATTCATTTAGTAACCATTTGAAGTTACCATGACTTACATTGAAGTTACGATGAAAAGTGACTTATGCCCATTTTCACACTTACAACCATCGCAGCATCAAAATTCGGATGCTTGGCAACTGGTTCAAATTTATAACAATTGCAGTGTCCCTAAGTCATGTGAAGTTCTTTTCAGATCTTCTTAGAAACAAAATCAATAGGGAAGCCAGATTCACTCAACAGCTACGTTACTAACTTAACTGCAGTGATTCACTTAATAACTGTCTCATTCAGCAGAGAAAATTTGGGCTCAATTGCGGTAGTAAGTCAATTACAGTAAGTATACTGTAAATACCAAACTGATTGGTTGATGGAATTGATGTTTGGTGAGGTTGATTGGTGATGGTGCCCTGTGTTGTTCTGGGTCCTGTGTTGGTTTTTGTGGCTGGGACTNATTTATAGGCTGCCCAATCCCGGGGGACTCCGGGCAGCTGGTGAGAAAGAGAGAAAGAGACAGACAGACAGACAGACACACACACACTCAGAAGCAGACTCAAGTTAGGTATTTTCTGAATATTTGACACCCTGAGCCCAAGGTTCTCCATCACTGAGCACAAAATCAGATGAACAAACCTGTCGGCACATATTGTTTTCCCTTGTCTTTTACACATGCTAATGTTTTCCTCTTTTCATTTATGTTGTTAGGGTCAGTGGATTCACAAATGTACAGCAACTACCAGTAATAAACTACATCAGTGGTTCCCAAACTTGGCAAGCTGGCTGGAGAATTCTGGGAGTTGAAGTCCACAAGTCTTAAAGTTGCCAAGTTTGGGAACCACTGAACTACATGAATAAACTACATAGCTAAACAAATATTACAACTATTTTAAAAACTACTTTTAAAAAAACAGCAGCACTGCCATTTCCCGCAAATATTAGTTAATTGCTATTCAAGAAGTACTTTGAAGTTCTCTCTGCATGTGAACATAAACAATCATATGCCTCCAATATGATTTACAATGTATGTCACTTCTTTCTTTTTTATACTATAGATTTCTATGGACATCGTTTTTAGCATCTAATTTACTTGTTCAGATGACCAATAAAACCCTTGCAAAACTTGCTGGTGCCATTAATCTTCTCCTAAAAGAAGCAACAATCATTATTATTTGCAATTCTAAGTATTCAGGAAATGAATGACATAATGTGGCGATCTTCCATGTGGCTCAGCTGCAAAAATTCAACAGGAAGCAAATTAGGGTTTCGTTGCTGTTTTCTAATGATGAGGAATGGTATATTGACAGATCAGAAGTGAGCAAACAGATCTTTGATCAGGAACAACTGGGCATACATAAAACTCCTGGAGTCCTATGGCTTTATCTCATCTTAGAATGCAGATTTTTCCTAGTAATCAGAGAATTAGCAAAGGGATCTTATTTATAGACCTTTCCATAGAAGGCGCAAAATAAGGACATGTCTTATTTCTGCTATCTAAACTACTTGGGAAAGTCAAAGAAAGTGTTAGTAATCAACCTGACAGTATACTTTTTAAAAAAAATTTCAGCGTTTTTCAGCGAGAGAACAAAATGCCAAGTATTAAACAATCCAAATTACCATTCAAGCATGCTTTATATTTCAACATTAAGCTTCTATCTGAAATCTAAGCAACGTAAGCCCAGAGAACGTTAAATCAAGCAATGGTTTCCAAATGACTGAATATGAAAAAAAGGGGGATTTAGTGGAATTTCATAAAAGATTTTGAGGGCAAAATTAGCTTTCCATCAATAATATGCCCCAGTTTTTAGATCAAGGATCACACTTAGCTTTTGAGAGAATGCCAAGCTCCTGATTTCAAAATGGGAAGATAAAAATGTGGGAATAACTGTTTCAAGAATTAGATATAAATTAATTTAATTATTTCCCAGATTTAATGTAATACAATTCTTTCCCAAACAAATTAACAGAATGAATACGATTCCTCCCCTTTTCTCCTATAAAAATAGCAATTTGGTTTTCTGCAGTTATAATCTTCCCCCTGCCAATCACAATTGGAACTGGCAACTCCATCACTAAACAATGCAGTCGTAAAATAAAAAACCACCTTACCGCATCTGGTTTACAACGGCAAATTCATTTGCTGCAGTCATTAAGTGAATCACCATAGGTCATTAAGTGCCAGGTCATGGGATTTGTGACTGCCTGCCAGTTTCCCCACTGACATTGTTCATTGAAGGTGATCATGTGACTATAGAAAGCTGTCACCATTGTAAATGCAGGCTGTGGCCAAGTGTCTGAATTACAATCAGGACTGTGGGGATGCTGGAATGGGGGCAACTCTTGGGACAAGTCATAAGTCTCATTATTCAGCAACATCATACCTTTGTTGTCGTTAGTTGCAAAGACGTTTCTGACCTATCGCGATCCGATGGACAATGTTCCTCCAGGCCTTCCTGTCCTCTACNATTCTCCTATTAGTTTGTCCAATGTATGTGGCTGGGCAGATTTTGCATGGTATTTCATAGACTCCTTGGTTTTCTAGCTGGATCTTATCTTTGGGGTTTCTTAAGATGTTAGCTATTTTTTGGTCAGTATATAATTATAGAAAAACGGCAGCTCCGATCATGCTTTGCTCGCACAAGCATAAAGCCGAAGGCACCAGCCTGAAGATGACAAGTGTGACCTCATCGAAACATCACCAAGATACTGTGAATCTTACACCCAAATATGCCAAGGCCTGCATACCTATACCTGTGAAAATCTACGAAAACAAATATAAATATATATATTTGTTCAGCCAAACTGGTAGTGGTTTGTTCGGGCAAACCGGTAGTGGTTTGGCGGCCTGGGTCATTGGAACCGGCAGCGAGCCATGCCTGCCACGCCCCTGAACTGGTTCTCTGGGTGGTGCTTTTCGATTCTGTGCATGCACAGAACAATTTTATTGTAATGTGCATGCGCGCGCAGCACACCCACAAGGGAACCAGCAGTAGTGCCTGCCGGAACCCACCCCTGCAGCAGGCCCTTTAATGATAGGTCCCCTTCAAATCTGGCATTCTACCTTCTCTGATCGGGGTGAGAAACCTGTGAACCTCCTGCTATTACTTAGTACAGCCCCAAGAACCCTCATGTTTGGCCATATGGACCAGAGCAGCCAAGAGTTTAATCCAGCAGCATCGGTAAAGCCCCTCCTTAATTTGTCTACATGCATTCTGACCTCACATGGGAAGAAAACAGCGGGGTGAAACAATGACAAGCGAATCGTGCTGGTTCTCTCCCTTAAATCCCTCCTTTTCCCCCAAACTGCTTTTTCCTTTTTCCAGTAGCAGCACCAAGCTTCCCTTACTCTTTGCTGCCACTGCTCTCTAAAAGAGCCGCATACTGTAGGAGAATCCTGCCAATTATGCACTGCAGCATTGCTAGCTGGCAATCCTGAAGAGGCAATGCAGGTGAAACCAAGAAAGCCTCAGAGCAATTTACTGGCTATAAAGTGTATAACTGGAGGCAACAAGTCTCCAACTCTTTGAGGGAGATGGATGCTTCAAAAATGTGATAGAAAGAAGGCAGAAAAGGCAGGTAGGTAGGTGGCAGGCAGACACAGATAAGGTAGGTAGACAGATAAGGTTGGTAGGTAGCCGGACAGATCAGGTGGCTGGCAGGCAGGCAGACAAGGTAGGTAGAAACAGGCAGATAGATAAGGTAGATCGATGGCAGGCAGGCAAATAAGATAGACAGAAAGACAAGGTTGACAGATTAGATAGATGGGTAGCAGGCAGGTAGACAAGGTAGGTAGACAAACAAGGTAGATCAGTGGCAGACAGGCAGAGAGACAAGGTAGACAAACAGATAGGATAGGTGGGTGGCAGGCAGGCAGATAAGGTAGGTAGGTAGATAGACAAGGTAGATTGGTGGGCAGACAGAGAGACAAGGTAGACAAACAGATAGGATAGGTAGGTAACAGGCAGATAGACAAGGTAGGTAGGTAGGCAAGGTAGATCAGTGGCAGACAGACACACAGACAGACAAGGTAGACAAACAGATAGGATAGGTAGGTGGCTGGCAGACAAGGTAAGTAGGTAGACAGACCTAAGGTAGATCGGTGGCAAGCAGACAGATAAGATAGAAAAACAGGTAACGCAGGTAGGTAATTTCAGATAGAGAAACAAGGTAGCTGGGAGGGTAAAACAACACAGCCGCTTGGCTTACAGTTACATCTTAGCACAGTACTTCCAACCCCCTACGCTTTGCTTTGGGATCAGAAGATCTAGAAAAGAAAGGGATCCGCTCGTTTGGGATCTCACCAGCCCCTTGATACCGCGATCTGCTGGCTCACTCCATTCCCACCAAGTCAATCCCGCCTTCCCAACCTTCCTTTAAGAGCGGAGCTGCCAAGCTCCAGACTGACTGGCTTCCCGGCTTCGCCTGTTCAGCGATGCAGCTGGCACAGACCGCCTGTCCCGATACTACACCGAGAGGTCCTTTCGCGGAGAGCCCCGGAGCCCTCGCCCGCAGTGACCGGGATGCGGAGCGCTGTTTCGTCCAGGAGCCGCGCCAGCTCGGACTCGCTCCTCTGCACCGAGACCAGCGGCTCCAGGTAGCCGAGGCGGGCTGCTTTTCTCCCCATGAAGCCCCAACCTTGCAGCAGCTGATGGAGCCGCCACGTCTTGCAGGCACCGCCGGGCAAGAGACCGGCTCAGCCTTCCCTTCCCTTTGAACTGCTCGGGACCACGCAAGCCTCGTCCGCCCGACCCTCCTCACCTGTCCTCCGAGACGCTGATGAGCCCCTCTTCCTTGGGCACGATGGCCGCCATGGTCACCGCGTCTTGCGAGCCCTCCGCTTGGCCGAGCAACAGGGGCCGCCGAGTGAGCGGCACGGACGGCGGAGGCTGAGCAGCCATGGAGAGCGCGAGAACGGGGCCGCCACGGCGACCAGAACCTCCGCACGCCCAGCTCGCCCGCTCGCCCTACCCTTTCTGGCCGCGCTTGCGCACTCGGAGGAGAGTGGCAACCCCAAAGGGCTACGGTCGCAACGGCTTTCCCAGGCGACTTCCGGATCTCCAAGGGAGCCTCTTGACTCATCTTGTGCGCCCGATTGGAAAGCGGGGCGGTGGAATGGGGTATAATAAGAAGAGTCAAGCGGGAGAGGAAAGCCCGCTTAGTTTAGCTTAGCTACGAGCTGACTTTCATGGCGGTTATTAGAAATTCGTCGTCGTCGCTATATCCATTGTCCCTTCCATCTCGAGTGCAAAGAATTTTCTTCTCGCAGATTTTCTCTCGCGTCTTCGACAGGTAGAAGAGAGATCAAGGATGAGACAGATTTTACCGAGATGATGTAAAATAAATAATAGAATTAATGAGCTGGAAGGGACCTTGGAGGTCTTCTAGTCCAGCCCCCTGCTCAAGCAGGAGAACCTATAATATTTCAGACAGGTGACTGTCCAATCTCTTCTTCAAAACCTCCAGTGATGAAGCACCCACAGGTTCTGAAGGCAAAGCTGTTCCACTGGTTAATTGTCCTCACTGTTAGGAAGTTTCTCCTTCATTCCAGGTTGCTTGTCTCCTTGATTAGTTTCCATCCATTGTTTCTTGTCCTGCCCTCTGGTGCTTTGGAAAATAATTTGACCCTCTCTT